AAAACTAAGACTTATATTTTTGATATTTATTTTATATATTTAAATGCCATTTAACAAAGAAAAATCAACCAAAAAAATGAGTTCGAGTGTCACCTCTGACACGCGTGTCATAGGTTCGCCATCACTGGTCTAGATAGATAGAGCAGAAAGAGATTAGATAGATAGCAGATAGATAGATGATAGATTAGATAGATAGATAGATAGATAGATAGATAGATAGATAGATAGATAGGCAGGCATATAGAGGGAGAGGTTACTTGGTCCAAGGAAATGAGGAAGAGAAAAGCAGATAGGAGAAACATGATATTTTAGGCCATCTTAGATACCTCTGAAAAATCTCTTTCTTTGAGGAAATGAAAGACCTTTGGTATAACTTCTCTTTGACAGTTACATCAAAGTGAATTGATGGGTCCACACCCAGTGAATGGTGTGTGCAAATGAAGAATTCAAGACAGCTGATGAGGATGCCTACAAGAAAAACCTTACTTGAGTAGTGTTAAAAAGACCCTGTCTCCACTGCCAGTAAAAGGTGGGGCAGCGGGAAGAAGGGGCAATAAGTAAATAATTCATTTAATATAGCTCCATATAGATTTCTTTCACAAACTCTAGATTTCTATGGACTAGAAAGAGAATGTTAAATATGTTTAGATAACACTGTAGCTTTATTTGCAGTTTTCTCTCTTTTTTAAAAAAAAATTTCAAATAACTTGACGTGAACATCAGTTCCCAGGTTCTCATGAGTTGGGTATTTTCTTCTTTGAGAAGCAGCGAGATTTTAGCTGGCCAAATTGAAGTCATTTTCTGCATTCATAGAACATATTCTGAAATGTTTGGGGCAATATTTATTTTTATATCACTATAGAAACTCCTAAAAGACAAGATGTGGTTCATGTGAGAGAGGAAGTTGTCAGTATGAAGTTTAAGAAACCCTTGGGACAATAGGTATCAGAATTTTATGTCTCTTTCTGTAGGTCTAAAATATGGCTAAGGATTTCTCATTAAGAAGTCTCCCAATAATTCAAAGACAACCTTTTGAAAAACTCTATCCTAAGAACATCACGGGGACTGTAAACCGGCTAGCTCAGTGGTCGGCAAACTGCGGCTCACAAGCCACATGCAGCTCTTTGGCCCCTTGAGTGTGGCTCTTCCACAAAATACCACATGCAGGCGCGCATGTACAGTGCGACTGAAACTTCGTGGTCCATGCGCAGAAGTCGGTATTTTGTGGAAGAGCCACACTCAAGGGGCCAAAGAGCCGCATGTGGCTCAAGAGCCGCAGTTTGCCGACCACTGGGCTAGCTTATTAAAGTTGGTACTGAAAGTTCATAGAAACCAAACATTTTCTCAGAATATTCTAGAAAGTCCTTAAGTCCACTGGGGGCATATCTGTTGAGATGTTGGAGCCTCTTAGTGGGTCAGTAGATTTTGGTCACCTCTCAGTTGTTCTTACAGGCACATCACTTAGGGCAGACATTGGGGTATCACAACTCTCCCTTCTGGAAAGAGCTGAGAGTTCTCCTTGGCAGAAACACCTTCCCACACATCCCAGCTTTCACCACTGCCTTTGCTCAGGGACATTCACTCAAGGCCTCCTGTGTTTGACCTTCAGCCCAAGGACACAGGTTTTCCACAAAAGGAGCACACCTGTCCTTCACTGCCTTTCAGGAGTTCCATATAATGGATGTTTTCATAAAGACATTCCAGCAGGGGCAGGAAATGATCACCAAACCCTAAAACATGCTCATTCTTCGGAGATTGTTCCCTAAAGAGTGTCCAGTGGGTCTCTCATATGGGTAGCTTCATGATTGGCAAATATTCTTCTATGCTGTTTTCCTGAGTAAAAGTTTTTGAAGGGCCATGATTCATTTGACAGAAAATGCTCCTTCCAAAACTTTTGGAAAATTACAGCATTCTGATCATCTTATATACAGGTTATTTGAAAGTCACCTTAGATATCATGCATGTATTGATTAGGAATTGTTCTGGCTCTTGAAGGCAACTGAAATATATCCCATATTTAATCTCTACTGGATAAATGTCATTTTCTTTAGGATTTAAAAAGCACTTTGGAAGTGTACAGTCTCTGGGTCATAATTAAGAATGACAATTATCAGAATACTAGAGGCCCCTCAGCCTGGCCTGCACCCTCTCACAATCTGGGACCCCTCTGGGGATGTAATAGTGCAAGAAGCAGCAGGCGACTGGGGAGGAGCCTGAGCCGATCCTCCGCTCATCTTGGCCATGCTGCGCCTGCCGCCACTGCTTGGTATGCTCGCTGGTCAGTGCTCCTGCGTTGAGCGTCTGCCCCCTAGTGGCCACTGCATATCATAGCAACCTGTGGACCTGTCATTCGGTTGGTCAGTCGCTTTGGCTTTTATATATATAGACTAGAGACTCAGTGCACAAATTCGTGCATGGGTGGGGTCCCTAGGCCTGGTCGGCGATCAGGGCTAAGAGGGGCCGGACCGATGGGGGCTGGGCCAATCGGAATCGGGGCCTGCCGGCCAGGGGGTGAGTGAATGTCCCTGAGCAAAGGCAGTGGTGAAAGCTGGGATGTGTGGGAAGGTGTTTCTGCCAAGGAGAACTCTCAGCTCTTTCCAGAAGGGAGAGTTGTGATACCCCAATGTCTGCCCTAAGTGATGTGCCTGTAAGAACAACTGAGAGGTGACCAAAATCTACTGACCCACTAAGAGGCTCCAACATCTCAACAGATATGCCCCCAGTGGACTTAAGGACTTTCTAGAATATTCTGAGAAAATGTTTGGTTTCTATGAACTTTCAGTACCAACTTTAATAAGCTAGCCCAGTGGTCGGCAAACTGCGGCTCTTGAGCCACATGCGGCTCTTTGGCCCCTTGAGTGTGGCTCTTCCACAAAATACCACATGCAGGCGCGCATGTACAGTGCGACTGAAACTTCGTGGTCCATGCGCAGAAGTCGGTATTTTGTGGAAGAGCCACACTCAAGGGGCCAAAGAGCCGCATGTGGCTCAAGAGCCGCAGTTTGCCGACCACTGGGCTAGCTTATTAAAGTTGGTACTGAAAGTTCATAGAAACCAAACATTTTCTCAGAATATTCTAGAAAGTCCTTAAGTCCACTGGGGGCATATCTGTTGAGATGTTGGAGCCTCTTAGTGGGTCAGTAGATTTTGGTCACCTCTCAGTTGTTCTTACAGGCACATCACTTAGGGCAGACATTGGGGTATCACAACTCTCCCTTCTGGAAAGAGCTGAGAGTTCTCCTTGGCAGAAACACCTTCCCACACATCCCAGCTTTCACCACTGCCTTTGCTCAGGGACATTCACTCAAGGCCTCCTGTGTTTGACCTTCAGCCCAAGGACACAGGTTTTCCACAAAAGGAGCACACCTGTCCTTCACTGCCTTTCAGGAGTTCCATATAATGGATGTTTTCATAAAGACATTCCAGCAGGGGCAGGAAATGATCACCAAACCCTAAAACATGCTCATTCTTCGGAGATTGTTCCCTAAAGAGTGTCCAGTGGGTCTCTCATATGGGTAGCTTCATGATTGGCAAATATTCTTCTATGCTGTTTTCCTGAGTAAAAGTTTTTGAAGGGCCATGATTCATTTGACAGAAAATGCTCCTTCCAAAACTTTTGGAAAATTACAGCATTCTGATCATCTTATATACAGGTTATTTGAAAGTCACCTTAGATATCATGCATGTATTGATTAGGAATTGTTCTGGCTCTTGAAGGCAACTGAAATATATCCCATATTTAATCTCTACTGGATAAATGTCATTTTCTTTAGGATTTAAAAAGCACTTTGGAAGTGTACAGTCTCTGGGTCATAATTAAGAATGACAATTATCAGAATACTAGAGGCCCCTCAGCCTGGCCTGCACCCTCTCACAATCTGGGACCCCTCTGGGGATGTAATAGTGCAAGAAGCAGCAGGCGACTGGGGAGGAGCCTGAGCCGATCCTCCGCTCATCTTGGCCATGCTGCGCCTGCCGCCACTGCTTGGTATGCTCGCTGATCAGTGCTCCTGCATTGAGCGTCTGCCCCCTAGTGGCCAATGCATATCATAGCGACCTGTGGACCTGTCATTTGGTTGGTCAGTCCCTTTGGCTTTTATATATATAGACTAGAGACCCAGTGCAGGAATTCGTGTATGGGTGAGGTCCCTAGGCCTGGCCGGGGATCAGGGCTGATAGGGGCTGGACCGATGGGGGCTGGGCCAATTGGAATCAGGGCCTGCCGGCCAGGGGGTGAGGGATGGGGGAAGGGACCGTGGGAGGTTGGCCAGCCCTTATCGGGGTGGATCAGGGCCGGCTGGCTGCGGGGAGGGACCGGCTGGTGGGAAGGACCACAGGAGATTGGCCATTTGGGGTAGGGACCGGCTGGGTGGGGAGGAAATGCAGGAGGTTGGCTGGCCAGGGGGAGGGACCTGGGGAGGTTGGCTGTGGGAGCACACTGACCACCAGGGGGCAGCTCCTGCATTGAGCGTCTGCCCCCTGGTGGTCAGTGCACATCATAGCAACTGGTCAATCAGTCGTTCCTGTCTTTCTAGTCGTTCGGTCGTAATGGTCACTTAGGCTTTTATAAATATATAGATATTGCTGCCAAGAACTCTATTCCTGTGAGCTTTCAAATTTTTGTGAACTTATCAAACAGAGAAATGCGATGAATTATTTAGTGGTAACCCATAAAAGACTAAAAGAAGGAAATTATTATATTGGCTCTAAAAAATATTGATATGGAAAGAAATTAATTACTGCATCATTTTCAAAAGGTTCACCTGTGGCTGGTCAGTAGTTTCCATTCTATTAACTTGTATAGGCAGAAAATCAAAGGAGGGAATCAATCTATTTCCCTAGAACTGTGTAGTTTTCAAAGAACGTTTATATGCCCAAACTACTATTCTCTGAATTTTAAAATTATAAAAGACACCAACCCTTTAGATGTGCAGTTAATTTGCAATGATATTCATTGTTGAATCAAAGGTGATGTTAATGTTTTGTGTATTTGTTTCAAGGCTGGAAATTGAATCCAGTTGTGGGTGCCGTCTACAGTCCCGAATTCTATGCAGGTAAACAGTTTCTGTTTTGCACGATGTCTCCTTGTTCTGTTCTATCTGTGCTTTGCCTGCCAATAAAGAATGGGTTTTGAAAAAAAAAAAATGAAGCCAAGTAAATCCTTAAGTTCTGGGTGATTTTATGTATTTATTATTATTATTATTACTTTTTTTGGCAAAATCAAGTGTTTAAACCCCTTTGAAAAAATAAAGGGGGATTATGTCAGCTCCACTGTGGAGCAAGCATGGAGCCACTGCTCCTCATGACATTTCCCATTGGTTTTGCCTTTAAAAAAAGTGTGGAAACTTTATGCAGATGCATATTGAGCAAATGTTCACGCCCATTTTTGGTCAGTGCCTGGATGTGTTCTTTTAGCCATACATTTCCGTTTGGGGTCGCATTTTTTTCCCCCTGGCAAAGCAGAGAATTGAATTAGTTATTCCAATAATGGGGCAATGAGTTGGAATTGCCAAGAGAAGGACTGTTGAGAAAACTGGAAAGAACTAAGTTGTCTTTCTTTCTCCACTGATCAATTTTCTTTAGTAATTCCAGTGCTCTCTGCTTTGCCATCAAGGGTGTATCTCTCTTCCCCCTTCCCTGCCTTCCCTGCAACTACCTCTCAACTTGGAAAGACACTGTAGTAGAAAACTTGACCATCAAATTCAGAGAGAGAGAGAGTAGCCCAGAGCAACAGTGGCTGAGATTCTGCTTGGCTTGGCCTGTCACTTCTGCCTGTTGTGTCCTTGCTCATTAACAAGGCTGCATTTAACACCCGGGGACTGAGGAGATTTGCCCCATGGGTATGGAAAAGAGGTCTTTCTTTGATGTGACCCTTACTTTTTAATAAGGAGAAAGCAATGACCACTTGGTCTGCCCACTTACTTAGTGAGTTCTTGACGGTAAGTCATTCCCCCTGCTTTGTTTTTTCTGGGATGCCTCACTGCGGTCACCGTCATGATACTAAGCCTCCACCTTAGTGAATAACAAGGGAGCATGGGAAATTTAGCTACTTTGGTTTAATAACCAATTTGATATTTTTAAAAAGGTAAATCTGGGAAGGTCCAATATGTGTTCTGGATTTTAGATAGACAACGTCTGCAGTTGTTCAGATTTTGCCACAAGCCTGGGATAAGTCAAAGGACTCTATGACTGTGGAGTAGCAGTGTTGATGCTTATGAGGAAGGAGCGAGATAGCCATAAGGCTTCCCATGACCATATGGTGGGACCCATATGCTAACAGGACACCTAGCAGAGTGAGCAACATGGACACTGCACTCAAGACAGCCTGAGTTCAAATTCTGGCCCCTCTTTTGGCAAGCTGTGTGACTCTAGGCAAGTTACTTAACCTCTCTGTGCCTCAGTGTCTTCATCTGTTAAATGGGAGATGATAATAGTAACAAACACACAGGTATTTACAAGAATCATGTGGATTAATATATGAAGAGTGTTTGGTGCCGAGCTGGCACCATGTAAACATTGGGTAAATAGGAACAAGTTACTATTCCACCTTGTTGCCATAAGTGAAAGTTAGCAGAGAGCTGACGATGCTGAACTGTGAGTGTACCACTAGACTAAGAGATTCTCTTCTTATCTCATGAGAGGACTAGTCCTTCTGTTCTCAGCATATCCATTTGGCGGAAGTTAATTTTTGGGACCAGAAGTAAGGCAGTCTGTTCGGGGGACATAGATATTGCTGGAGTACATCCTTATCCAAAACTGCAAATAAATGAAATTGGCCCAAGGGTACAAGCAGACCTTAAGACAGCACCTCTGTGCACCTGAAGACGCTGCCCAGTGAAATGGAGCAGCGGGAGTAAAGAGGGGGCAGATTCTGTGTGTGGTGTGTGCATGCGCACTCACCTACCCGCATGCTTTGTCCCAAAGTTATGGGTCAAGAACAAGGAGCAAGATGTCATCTGCCGAAGAGGTAGGGTATGCGCATGCCTTGTAGTAGAGAGAGGAGAGTGCGTTTTTTCTGGTCCCATGCAAAGTAGTTGGTCATTTTTTCACCCGCATGCTTTGTCCCAAAGTTATGGGTCAAGAACAGGGAGCAAGATGTCATCTGCTGAAGAGGTAGGGTATATGCATGCCTTGTAGTAGAGAGAAGAGAGTGCGTATTTCTGGTCCCATGCAAAGTAGTTGTTCATTTTTTTTCTGGCAACCAGGAAAACACCAAATATCTTTGTCAAACCCATATGCAAAGATGTGGTTTTTTAAGAGGAGAATAAGACAGAGTAAACAATTTAGACTAATGCATACATTCAAGAGCAAATTAATCTGTGTAACTTTTAGAACACTAGAATAGTGATTCAAATTAGCCCTGGGCCCACCCTTAGACGTTAAATCACTGGGCTATATAGAGAAAGAATACGTTATCATACAGGTAAATATGGGCCGAGTTCTTTCTATGCTCAGATACTGATACACACCCTATACCTAAATTAATGTGTTAAAATTCTTGGGGCAATTTTCCAAATGAGGGGACTAAGGTTCAAGGAGTTAGCATCATGGGACTAAGATGCCACAGCTGGTAGGAAGCCGGCTAGAATTTGAAAGCAAGAGGCTATATGCTTTACAACCAGGTATGCTGCTGCTTTCTTTTTTATGAATATTAGAAGTCATTCTTACTGACTGTGCCCTATGGGAGCAGAGATTCCTGATCTATGTCCAAATTAAGAAGAGAAATAAGATAATGATTTTGGATTATTTCCACCACCGTCTGCCACCATAGTCAGACACGTCATCCAGTTGTGTCAGGGGAAGCTTTAAGGCAGGGGTCCTCAAACTTTTTAAACAGGGGGCCAGTTCACTGTCCCTCAGACCGTTGGAGGGCCGGACTATAGTTAAAAAAAAAAAACTATGAACAAATTCCTATGCAAGCAGAAGCTTTTCCCTTTTTGCCTGTATATTTGTGTCTGTGGGTAGACAGAGCTCGTGGTAGTCAGAAATGTGGGGAAATACTGTTGCAAATTCAACACTCCAAAACTATTCCTTGGAAATATTTTTAAAAAACACTGAGACTCCTGCCAGCTTAAATCTAAAGTTTCAGGCATCTGTATCTATGGAATGCATACAGGGGTGAGCAAAAGTAGGTTTAGTTATAATACAAATAAACAAGACAATATTTAATAAATGATAATACAGGAATAAATGTACTTTGTGCTCACTCCTGTATATATAAAAATATAGGTATGAAATATATTCATTTCCATAACCAGGTATAATTACTAATGTCACCCATTTAAATACCCATGACTAAGAATTTCGGGGGGCATTTTAAATTTCCCCAAGTATAAAAATAGCCTGCGTTTATCTTGCAATTTTGAATATGCCTCAAAGCTGCAATGAAGACCCTGTCATTGATTTGCTAGGGATGTTTAGCGGGCCAGCCCTGTGTCTGCCTGAGATAGAAAGCCAGACTTATTAGTCATTTCTCTGTATAAGATGCTGTGCTAATGACACATATCATAATATTCCATAGTATAATTATCGATTTTCTGAAGCTTATGCAGAATTAACAGCCCAGCCTCCAATTGTCTCTCCGAATGGGGCATGAAAAGTTCACATATTTTGTAAATTAAAATCGATATTTTCAATCTCTCCTAAAGGTAATTTTCCTAATTTAGTGGACTTTTCCCTAACATTTATTTTCTCTTTTAATTATAAAATGGCAGGGTATTGATTTCCCTGTATAACCTCCTGACGCCCTGAGTGCATTTTTATTGCTAACGCAGGGTGGGGGTGGGGAGAGCAGTTGAACCTCTTAATGAGGATCTTTAATTACTAGCTTTGTATTAATTTGCTTTGATAAATTATGACATGCGCTCTCCCTCGCCTACACAGTCCAAGGGAGGCATTCAGAAAGCTGTGCAGGAAGGTCTTTCATTTCGGGTGGTTCTTCTGAGCTCTCAGGCCTGGACGAACTCTTAAACACTCACCCGACTCGGCCCCCAGAGCAGGTAGACATAAATCAGCTCAATCCCACGACCCTGTATGAATCTTCTCCGAAGACAAGGTGGTATTTCCCTGTTATACTAAGCAGCATTGATTCGTTTTCCATATGTATCATCATCCTCAGACTTCCTGAGGCTTATTCTCAAGACAAAAGATTGCTAAGTCAATAAAATAAAATAAAAAGTCCCCTGTTATACTAAGCAGCATTGATTCGTTTTCCATATGTATCATTATCCTCAGACTTCTTGAGGCTTATTCTCAAGACAAAAGACTGATAAGTCAATAAAATAAAATAAAAAGTCCAGATGGGTCTCCAAGACTTTAGCCTGTCTCTATGTCCATTCCATTTTAGAGTTTAAAGACAACGGAAGGCCCCACATAGAAGAACAGTATCTACAAATGTCTGTTCCCAGTAGCATGCCTCAACTTACTTAGTGTAATTAGAAGAGTGTTTCTAAGAATCTCAAGGAGGAAGGCTCAAAGGGGATTCTTACAGTTTTCCCGTATGAATGAGAGATTCCCTTTGCTTGCTAATAAAAAGGTTTTTAAAAAGTGGTGTCTTTGAGAGATAATCATGATATCTAGCCCACGAAACTGTTGATCGAAAGCACCTTTAATCTTCATAAATAAGGACAACAAAATCAAAATAAATAACAGAAGGTTATGCAAAGATGTCAACATGGTACTGACAAATGGCAAAGTCATCTGTTTCTCAATTGCCGCTAAGATCGCTGCAAAGCTTAACCGCACTGTATATCATATCTGCCAACTCATTTCTGTGATTAAATATTCCATCAGCGGGGCTCTAAGGCAGCAAAGCTTAACAAGATTCATAAGATGCACCACTTGAACACGCATAACTCACTTCCAGGGATGGAGAGCACCCCGCTTGCAAAGGAAAATTGGAATCCAGTTCAATTACTCCACAAGTCGCGATCAATAAGGGAAGGAAAAGACCTTTCAGTGCAATGCAAATCTAAGATATAGTTCGGTCCTGATGACAAGAAACACACAATTCAAGTCCATAGTAGAAAGATACAGAGTAAATTACTCAAAAGCC